AAAAGTGACGTTCGCCTTCACGCAATTTTCGGCGGACGTTACAAGTCAATGAGTTTTGGATACCGATCTTGTGGCATGACTTCAAAAATTGCAGCATTTGTTTCTGTTCTCGATAGCATGAACGGATCATTTTGTAAATTGCACACTTCTTCTTGAAGATCACTTCTAACAAGTTCAAGATTAATTTTCATAGGATTATTGAAAAAAAATGATATCCGGTTCTAGAGATTTAAAACCTTTAAACGACGTTCAAACTCACTCGAGACTTCATCAATAATGGAAGCAAATCTTGAAAAGTTTACTTCCTTGTATTCCTGTTTTAATTCGGAGCAACTCGGGAAATGATAAACATTTTCTTTGGCTAGTTGCAGTTTGAACAACGTAAGTTTAGATCGGAATCCATTAATATTCGTCAACATATCAGAAATAGTGCGTTCCTTTCCCTGCAAATGTAAATTTAAATTGTTCAAATGATTTGTAAAGTCCGTTAGAAATGCTAATTCTGATTAAAAAAATGGATCTTTTAATTTCTTTTCAAATTCCGTGGTATCAGATTTTACCTCTTTATTCAGAAATTCGCCAAGTTCTTTTCGAAGTGCAAAAAAACGAACTAGACATTTACCTGCACTAAGCCAACGAACTTCAGAATGAAGAGGTATATCTCGGTATTCCGCGTCAACTTCTTCCAAAAATGCTTTCAATTTTCGGTGAGATAATGATCGATTTCCTCCGCGTATTATGTTCGTAATTTTCGTAACATCTTTCATTACAGAGAGCATTCTGATAGTATTTCTACATAATGCCTCTTGATGAATAATGCAATGAAAAGTTAAACAATTTACTCCGTTTTTTCTTAACTGACCAACGAAGCCATTTCCTCTACCGACCATAGCCGGTGCTCCATCGGTGCAAATTGCAGAGCATTTGTGGAAACCACCGATTTCGTCAATGCATTTTTTAACGGCATTAAAAATATCTAAATCTGTTGTTCCGAGCAACGGAACTAAAGCGAGTAATTCTTCCTGTACTGAAAAATCGTTCATTACTACGCGAATGAAAATTAGTAGTTGACTGATATCTGTTCGGTCAGTACTCTCATCAATACACAAAGAATAGTATCGACATTGTGCAACTAAATTATTTAGTTTCTCTTTTATGCTGCGGTCCGTATTAACAATTCGATTTCTTACAGTGTTACGCGATAAAGCAGCTGTTTTAAAATGTTCAGCGGCATCATCGTAACCAAATGCTTTTGCCATTTCTATTGCACATTCTTTAACGAGTGTGCCATCGCTAAAGCATTTCTGGGCTTTCGCTAATTTTAAGGATACCACATATGATGCAATTAAACTCTTTTCCTGAAGACTTGAGGAGATTGATACAGACAAGTCTTGCATTATTTCTTTTTTTAATTCATCCACTAAAGCGCGTCGTTCGTCATCAGAGCAATGTCCGTGTGTTGCTTCATGGAGCGAAGAGAAATGTCGAGCAAGATTACTACTTTTATTTTGACTTAAACAATTTTTACATATTAAACATTGGGGTTTCTTGTTGGAATTCTGTACAAAAAAACTTAATTTCCCACTCGTTATTGAAAGCCCGGTTTTCGGAGCTCTTCCTTTTCGACATTCTCAAGAACCATTACAGAGAAATAGCTACAGTAAAAATCCAGAGAAAACTCTAAGAATACTCAAAGAAAAATACCAGACAAAAATCAGAATAATAGCCAGAAAAGTAAACAGGATTATTATCAGAGCAATGGCGCAATATTAAATAGAATAAATCTGGATAAATCACAGAGAGCGAGCGGACTGATAAAACACATCGTTGTATCTTGTGTGTCGCATTTAAATTGCGAGTTATGGTCAGACTCCGTTAGACCTCTAGCGGCAACTGCGTTTAAACAATTAGAGAGTAGGGCCTACATCCCGCGCG